TTTGTGCGTTGGATATGAATGCGGTGCAAACTTGTCACATAGTGTTTCTCACTCAATTTCTTAATTTCGTTTGGAGTGGGGTGTTAGCTCAGCATTTACGTTCACTTGCAAGTCTTCGTGGATGGTTCAGTTTGAGATGAACTGATTTTTAGGGCATAGGTGTCTAGTTTTGTGACTACAAGCAGCGGGCGGTCACAAGCTTAGTGTTATAGGAATTGGTTTTGCATAACGGTTTACTGAAAAACGCTTCCTCACTCCATTTTTAATTCAGACCGTCTACTTAACGTTTCAACTGTGCTGAAAACCGAGTATAGCAAATAAATACTAGGGGTATGAACTGTTTCGTACTAGCATACCTTCCTTATGTTCGAGGACACCAGGGCAAGTTCCTTTAGTGTTGATCGCAGACCGTTTATTACCCAGGGGATTACTCCCCAAAATGGTGAGGTCCTGCTTCCTAAAACCTTTAGCTTATTTCAAACCAGAATATGTGATTCTCGATATCCTATTTTAGACATCTAAACTAAGTACACGATTCTAATACACCATAGCTTAGCAGGTATACCTTGCATCTCAGTCAGTAAACATTTGAGGAGGCTATCAATTTCCGGATGTTAGTCGAGAAATATTAGTTTCTTCAAAGAACATACCCAGTTCCAGGCCACAGTGAAAAACATATTACACAATTTCAGATCAAAAAGGTTGGAAATCTGTCTATTTCGGACCAAAAGCGACTTGAGACCTTACTCTTTGCCGGGTGTACACATTCCTGTATAGCTTATACAGTGGAGTTCCCCCGACTTCGTCATCCTCATTATAGACAATATGGTCACACTAATCTTATTTTTGTTTTTTTGTTTTGTTTTTGTTTTTGTTTTTGTTTTTGTTTTTGTTTTTGCTTTTGTTTTTGCTTTTGTATTTTTTTGTCCTTGGTCCCATTTTAAGGCAATCGTGATTTCACAAAAACAAAATACAAAAAAGATACAGAGAACATCATTAAAATGTCGACTTTTTCATCGTCTGTTGTATAATGAGATATTTATTTGCATAAAGTTCTTTCGTGAATAACACAAAAGGTGAAATAATAGAAAAAAGCTTCCCTTAGTCAAAACATGTTAATCTTCTCAGCTCCTAAATTTCTTAGAACCGTAAATGGTTTAATATCTTGTTATGTTTCCTTTTGATACTTGGCAGAAAGGTACTAAACTTTGAAGCAAAAACATGTTTCTTAAATTTTCTTATCTATGATAAAGTTTAACAGTGGTTACCGGAAAGTGGTGTTTAAAAGCCACATTAATTTGCTCAGCTACTCGATCATCCGTTTGACATCGCGTGGTTCTGTCGATGTAGGCTTCTAAATCAGTCTACTTTTAAATCTACTCAACTTGTCTGGTGAGTTAAAAACGTTTTAAAAGTCTATCTGTACGCCAATTTATATGGGGGCATGACAAAAACCACTAGAAAGTACTCCGCATATTTTAAACGGGGTGAAACATGAACTCCAAACACTGTTACGTTGGCCAGTAATTTTTAATAAGACTGATCATAGTCTCTTGTTTTGCGTTTTTTCGCTTCAAGTGAAAACATAATAAAATAACTAGCGCACAGAAATATGCAATTAAATAGAAATACTTTGTATTGACCGGAACTTTTTTTTTCCAGTCATGTAGTTCCTGACCGACATGGCGCTTTCAATTGTGAGTTGCTTTGAAAACGTTTTCCTGTTTTGGGGGCCCCTGTATACAAATTATATTCCTTCGTGTCAAGAAGCGCAGGCCATCAGCCTGGAATCTTTGGTGGCCCAAGGAAAGTGAAAGAAAAACATACTAAGATTTAACTTACCTATCAGTCGGATACCTCGTCTGTTAGATTCGAGTCACTTTACTACTTCTATTACTACTTTTGCGAGATGGCCCATTAAGGTACATTGAGTTATCGACCTGATTTGTTCTTATTTAACTCAAATTTCCAACACACACTGAGAATTAAAGCAATTACTTGATAAACTTTCCGTGATTCAATTTTTGTTTTCGCTTTTAATACCACCTTTCTTATCTCAAATAGATTGCTTTCTTGACAAAGGAGTTTATGAAATCAGATTGAAATCCTAGAGTGTATCTCCGCATTTGAGCCGGGTTGACCACAAAAAGCTTTTAAGTCATCAAGACATTCTCGACAAAAACTGTTAATGCAAGTGTAATGGCACCATTGGGGAGGAGTGGTTCAATTTATACCAACGCCTAGATTACTTTATCGTTACAAAAATGTATATGTTCTTGAATTGATGACATTTTAAACAACCAAGTGTCCAGTGATTAAGAAATAAATAAGTGACTAAATGATTCTTTTCAAAACTGTTTCACAGCTCATCTGCCGATGTGTATTTTATGGCACGGTTATGTTGCCATACAATTTTTATGGTTGCAATTAACTAGGGTTTGAAGGATTTGTAAAGAATTCCGAGGCAAACAGCGCATGTGTGATTTAGATACCTATATTCTTGATTCTTATGTTAATTCGGTGTCATGTTTTGCTATAATATTCTTACTACGGCGTCGCCGTTTCAATATGACTCTTACAGAAGCATTCTGGTAATTGGCCTACTTTTTTTAACGAATCTTTTAGGTTTTCTGGTGAAAAAACAAGTAAATTTTATAGAAAACTACCTTATATTAAAGGTTTCAACGCCCGTTTACTCATTGCACAAAGTTGTATTATACTCGCCTTCAACCCGTAACAATTCTGATCTGAATAGTAAAACGGTCTAATCAAGTTTCTTAAAAGCGAAATTCATTTAATTTATACGTAACTACATGTTTCTGTTTCGCTAACCTGGTTTTTCCGTGTCACATAAGATTTGAATTTGTATGTGTGATATAAATAAGGGTTCCGGAGCCTTCCGTCTGACAGGGTGATTGTATCTCAGTTTAACTTACAAAGAGATAAATTTAGCTTTCTTTGTTAGCTCAGTAGTAAACACACTTAGACTACATAAATAGTCCTCCAACGCCGGGTCAATACAGTGACATGTCTTTTACAAGCAAATAGATAGAAGCAACGATGTTATGTTATTTTCGGTTAACTTGTAGATGTTTTTGACGTAACTTGACCGACACGATTTAATGTTTCAAAAGCCTTTACGAAAAAAAAAATATAGATTATTGTTTTCCTCTGTCATTTACAACGCATTGCTGCCTTTCGTGACCAACAGGGTACGAATTGTTTATTGCCCTTGAATTGTAATTTAGTGTTACCTTTTTAAGAAGACAAAAACATTAAAAAAAGCTCTCAGCATTATTAAAATATCACAACAGAGTCAAAGCCAAGCACGCAATTTTACCCTATTTTCCTCCTGCTTAAAAGAAGCAAAGTGTTGAATCTTGTCAAATGAATGATCAAATGCGTTACAATGAATTACACACACCGGCTGGCTTTCTCTTTCTTTCGGTAAGTTTGGTTGTTTCAGTTTGTCATTTTCTTCATGTTTCCGAAGGTAATTTCAATGTCATATGATACCGTGAAGTTAAGATATTAAAGGCAATAATTTGGCGTGAGCATCGCATAGTACTTAAGAAAGTCACGGCACGAGAGCGTAACAATCAGTATGTAAAGCTTTCTAATGTACCATTTCGACCAGTCACGACTAAGTGATTTTTTTCTTGCACTTTTCGCATCATTCTACAAGTTAACTAGGCATTTCTAAGTTTTGTAATTCGCACTACCATTCATATCATGCAGTAACCGGTCGGTAGATATACTAAATATAAACTCACTGACAAGTGCTATAACTGAACCGTTTTGCATCTAGATTGTCAGGGACGAGCACATCGGCGATCATTCCCTGATGGTCTCCGTATCAGATTTCATTTTCATATGTTCTGTGGAAAGTTTTGCAACCCTGCAAGTTCCTATGCCAGCGGGCAAACTCTATAACAATTCGTAATGCGGTCTCCGTTTCGTATTGCTTTGTCAACGTTGATCAGTTTGTTAATTCTTGCCGCTTCCATTGCTAATTTATAGTAAAACCTTGATGAGAATTTATACTTTGACCATCATCCGAATAATTTGATTATGACAGCAAACAATTTCAACGGACTGAGCACGCACCAAATCTTGACGGGAAAGCTAAGAGGGATGTCATGATCTAAATTATCCTCTCTCCCAGTGCGGATGTTTCGACTGTACAGCACAGTAAAAGCTATTTTACAATATCATTTCCTCTATCTTCAAGTGCAGTCGTGATTATTACCCTCAGAAGTACTTTGACAACACTTCTTGGGAAAAGACTTAAGTGTCAACTCAAGTTTTCAGAATGTCAATCATGCTAATTGGAGGCACGCAAATGTGATGCTTAGTTTTTGTTTTTTTTTTTAGCGAAAACGACTGTGATTAAAAAGTGATGTTGTGTTACTTTTTGGATTTTTTTTTTCCACCAACTTATTCTTATTCACCGTTTACGCCAGCTTTTATTTCTTTCCTTTTTGTCTTAATTTCATGACCATAATAAAACTTGCCGTGATAATTTGTGCTCAGAAAATGTTAGAGGCATCCGTAACTTCGATCCAGGTGTATACATTTTATTCAATAACTTTTCATATAATTTCCATTTTACGGTCAATTTAGTTTTAAGGTAATAGCTTTATGTTTATTTCGTTTAACGTTGTGGGTTAATCAAATGCGATGGGAAATGATAAGTACAATTTCAGCCTAAGTGTAGAAAAAATTGTCAGTGGAGTTCATGCGAAAATCATGTGACGGCAGACGCACTGAAACCACTTGTATATGTTTTACATTAATCATGATTTTTGGATTTTGCGTTTGAGGTGAATCGTTTTTCACGATATCGCAGTTCAAATGAGACAAGTTTTGCATGTATAACAAGCTGAGAAAAGTCAGCAGCTTGCTATGTTTATTGTCATGTCAGAAACTACAATGCCTTAAAATTGATTTGACAAACAGCTAGCATAATTGAAACTTGATAATATGTTAAACGTTACAAATTCGCATTTAGTTGGATTTAGTATTTTTCAAAAAATTCTGACACTACTTACATTTATACCATTGGTTGCAATAAATATTCGGCGAAATGTAAATGAAAATGGTTTACTTAGCGGGTGGTTATTTTATGACCAGTTCTGTGGTTATTGGTCATCGCACTTGAAAGAAACCACAGGTACTATTTTCGAAACATCAGTCATACACTAAGTACGACGTATGGATCTTTCAACTCAAGATATTCGTAATTTTCTAGCGTGTTTGGCTTTCAGGATCTTTATGTTATCGTCTTCACTTCGTGGTAAGGACCTGCACGCCTTTATACTTCTATCTTTGACAGTTTTTCCCTCGGTGCGTGATGTCTTATTATTGTCGTGACTAAAATTGCCTAGTCAGCTTGTCACAAGTTAATTGAAAATATTGCACAGCTACTCGTCCGATGATAAAGTTGTCACGAATTTCGCAGCAGAGGGCGGAGAACATCGTTATCAAATCTGTAGTCAGTTGTTGCGACCGAGAAGTTCTGTAACATACCGCAGGAAAATCGCTCTAGCAACTTCCATCACGTTGAATCCAAGTCTATCATGATTTTGTCCAGCATCTTGAAGTGGACGAAAATATCGGTTTTCGAGTTTATCTCCTATGTTCTGCAACTCTCTCGCAACTTGTCGAATTCGTGTCCTCATTTGTTCGCTTAGTTCAACACTAGTCATAAGACCGTTTGCTTCTCCGCAAGGAGTGTCTTGTGTGATCATGATGTAAAGTCAAGAACCCCAAGTGCAGCTGCGACTGTTTGTGTATCTCGAGTCGCTCGGTCGATAACGTCTGTTGTAGAAATACTGAAACAAAAACAGAGAAAAAAATAAAATCAACCACTTATTTCCTTTTACAATATCAGCACACTGAATCAGTGATTTATCTTGGAAGGGGTATATAAGTCTGAGAGGTTATTATACTTCGAGATAATAGGGACAATATTGAGACAGAAGTATTATTCTTCGGAGATAAATCCAGTCAATTATCAATAGAACTCGATTATTGGTACACGCACAGTGAAATTGCACTCAACCACAAGCTCAAAGAGACTAGGAAAATGCCTGACAGTCACAGAGATTTCTAATAAGTTGGAATCTACCTAGAAATTTGGGTTTCAAAATGACTACGTTAATCACAGCACCATCATAAGTATTTTAGTTCGATTCATTCATTCCTGGTTTTACACCAGCAGTGTTTGTAAGAACTGATGATAGTCGCTAACTTTAAATAACTACATGTTGATACACGTGTTTGTTGAAGAAACTGTGTAAACAATATTCCTTTCAGTCAAGCTTAGTTTGTAGCTATCTCTAGGATAACTTGGAAAAACAACAACCTCAGTGATTTTAGGCTTTAGCTACAGAAATATTGTGTGTTTCATGTCATGGTGTGCAAAAAGAACAATTTGTTTGTAAATATAATTGTAGAATTGAAGTAAAACGAACCCTGTAACAGAGATGTTATGTTAAACAAAAAGAAAAATCGCTGGAATGTATCTTACCGTGGAATGAAGGTCGATTTTCTGATCAATCAATTTTTGAAATTAAGCTCGACACATAGATATGGTCTAATTTGAACTGTTATTCTTTCAAGACGTTATCCCTCGTGTTTCTCTGTACTGTGCTATGTTAAACTGTTTATCGTGTTGAAATCATCTGATTATAACAGCACCTGCGGACTGGTTTATAACTTGATATTAAATGGGTAGACAAACTGACCGGCGCCTTTGTTCTGTCAGTATCTCCGAAGTATATCTCATATTAATTTCTGTATTTACGTCGACTTTTCATCGTACATGGCCACCTCGAAGTCCACGGAACAGAACTACATTTATTTTATCTTCACTCCTATCTTCGCCTTAAGTGACCGATAAAAAGATCTGTTATTGAAAAATATGAATTTGTCAATTCAATCAATTCACCTGGCCTTACGTGACTATCAACAAACCTTTTAAGGATGACCTGACCTTGGTGAACGGCCGGTTTTGCTTTTTTGCCCAATCACAGCTCATTGCGTCGATGTGCATTTTTTTTTCTTTCGAAGGGTTCAACTCGTTGTTTTGGCTAGTTCTCAAACTTCTTAGTGATACAAACTTCTTTGGTGATACAAAACGAAAACTTAACTTCTTTGTCAAATAGATTAGAATTTTCAAAGAAAAAGGAAATGAAATTATCAACGGAGACATATCTATCGAATTTAGAACCCGTGTACCTGTCTTCTTAAGGTTGAAAATTAAGTTGCAGTTGAATCTGTCAATTTTGGTGTCGTTTAGAAGTTCACACTTTACAACTTTAGAATATTTCTGTAATTTGATGTCCTATACAAGCATGCGGCATTGACGGGAAATTGTAACAAAGATAATTCAATATGTACGTGTAAATTACAGCAATTAAAATTCTTACATGTGTCTTTAAACGTCTATTTCCAAATGAATGTGCTAGCTACTCAAGGATACCACTTTTACCATTCTCAGGTTGACAACAATTACCATAGTCTCCATCAGGAGCCAGTAATGGGCGCCTGTCTTCTCTATATATTCGCAATAGAGCCGTAGAAGAATTTGGCAATTAATCAGTACAGCTTTCATGGGTTTTTTTTTTTTAATTGATTGTTTGTTTGTTTTTTCGGTTGAGTTTATCTTTATCCTAGCGATGCCTCGTGCTTGGCATTGGCCTTGACATTAAAGGAGTTCAATCCCGTTATTTTGATTTATTTTGGCCACGTACAAATTTGCCGTTCAAGCTGAAGGAAACCCGGAAATATTAGTTTACTAAGATAGAAAAACACCAAAGAAACAATGATAGGAACAAGGATGGAGAGGATTGACACGGATTACAAACTTGAAAAGTTTAGGCTAAACTTTTCAAGATGTGCAAATCAAGACGTAGCTTCTTTAAGGTGAAGGTAGAAGTTAAATAGACCCATTGGCGTGCACTGTCTATTAGGCGCAATAGTGGAGTCCGGTCTTGGTTTCTCCCCGAAAGGTCTGAAGGATGAAGAAAGCGCGCAATCATTTCCCGAACAGCGACCGGTGTTCGAGTTTCGTTGTCTATGCAGTCAGCTTAATGGAGAAAGAAGAGAATTCGAAAGACGTAAAACTTCCCAACAAGCAAAAGCATTTCGAACTGAATCCTAATTCCAAGGCCTGAGGGCATTTGAAACTGTATGCCGTTGTCTTGTCATTTGACTGTCAATGCACCTGAATATATAAGATTTACAAAGAAAAATAATGACAATTCGTGTGTCCGGAATTTTACAATTGATAATAACTTGAATTACCTGAATTGAATTGTAGTGTTCCTTTGGCGTAAGCGTAACGATTGAAAGTCTGTTCGCTCAGGACACCACTGCACTTGATATGGACAGTATCCCGACAAGTACTGTCTAGTTATGGCCTTGGGCGACAATTAAAAATTGCTCATGAGTCCCCCGCAAAGCCTGCTTTAACAATAGTGCGGTAAATGGACTTGCGTGATCTGTTACCGGTGGCCACTCGCAATCGTTCATGTGACGAATATCACGATGCTGCTAAATTTATTTATAAACCATTTCATCAGAAGCGTGGTAAAAGCTGACGTTTCGACTTGTCCCGTGAACATCGAGATTCCTCGTGTTTTTATTTCCAGTCACAATTTTTCTTTGTTAAGCAAAGTTAAGTTTTGTGCTAGTTACACTTTTGGTAATCAGTGCTGTAAGCTTGATTCGTAAAATGATACGGGAACTGTACACTGTACACTGCAATTTATTGAATTCATCTGTACATGTCCACATTTAATTTAATACAGGAAATATAAAAACATTTCAGATGGACTTTGAGTTCGAACTCGATTTGGACTCTTTAGTCGAGTGGCCTAAGTACTTAATACTCCTCTTTAGCCAGTTTAACGCTGAGTTAGCCTGAACAGCTCAGAAGTTCAGTTACTCTGAATAGCATTTTGGTTAACCTATACCTCACTAACAATGCTAATAGTAACACGGTATATTCATAAAGTTAAAGTGAAGTACATACAACGTATAAATCATGACTTATTTCGAAATAGTCCGACAGTGATGCATCCCAGCGCCACGCTGAGTAGGAGTGGATTAAGGTTGCACGCGCTAGTGTGGTGACCATTTTTGGTACTCAGGCTACACGCAATGTGTAGGGCCAGGGCTTTGTATACGATCTACGTGACATTAGTCTGTTTTCGACGGCGTTTTCAACCTTTTAGACGTGCGTAGTTCGATCGATTGACGTTATTCGGAAATAAGACTGAATTCCAGTCCAGCGTGATGCTTTCGGCTGACCATATTCCGGGATACGGCTTATATCAGAATAACCATTTCTAACGTACGTCAAAAGACCGGCATCTGTTCCGTTACTAGAATGATCCAAGCCCTGCACTCTTGCAAAACACTATTTTCTTTTGACATCATCTCAGATCTGACTTCTCAAGAGGTTCAGGATGCCTCGTTCAGTCCCCAAAGCCGTAATGAACATCCGTTCTCCCTTCCTGGCAGCAATTGCAATCTAAAGCACAAACGCCTCTATTTCGCTTCCGGCCAGTTTAGGTCGTTAGCCATAAGATCGGTTACAATCATTTCCAAACATTTCTTTTTCTTTCGTTTTCTCTTTTCACCATTTTAAAATTGAAACTTTGCGGAACAACTCCAGCACTTGGTTGCCGATGTAAATGAAAAAGGAGCGGGCGAGAAAAGCTAGACGGTGATTAATACCTGTTTGCAGGCTTTTATGGAGAACCCTAAAAAAAAATAAACATGTTCATGCCGGAATCATTTGTAAGCATCAATGTAATTTTTGTTGATGTAGTTATAGATTTATCGTCAGATAAGGTTTGACAACGGCTCATTTAACGGTTTTCCAATACGGTTTCCAACCCCAGGGTGCCGATTGATTTTCTTGGCGCCGTTTTTTTCTTTTTTTTTTAAATTCACTCTAGAAAGCAGTCTCGAAAAGAGATGTTCATTTTGTTTTGACGTTTTAGGTGACTATTCACCGGATTTGTCTGGATGAAAGGCCAAGCTGAAAGAAAAAAAAAAGTTCGTTTTCGACTAGAAGAAAATGGATACGTGTGGATGGAGCACAAAGCTTGTTATTAGTCCTGCGGCCGCTAGACTATTCTTAGAATTTCGTAATTAATTCTACTTCCAGGCCCAGAGAATGCGAGGAATGCATGCTCGCCGCATATTTTTAATACCAATAAGGACAAACGGATGAGGTGGTATCCCATTTTTTCCTGTTCCAGAGTAAGCCAATGAAACGCCCCCTAACAGATTTATAATTGAGAATGCAAACTGAAAGTTGCTCTAAATACTATGTGTCGAAAATAATTTCGATAAGAGTGACTTAGCAGCTCTGTTTGCAGCTCTGATATTTTTTATCGCTGTGGTCCTAGAGCGAAATTAATATCATTTTTTTAAACTGAACTGAATCGAAAGACTGGTAGTTACGCAACCTTCATTTGCGCAGTGATTGTCACGTAGATTGTATACAAAGCCCGGGCGGGAAGTCGTTAAGCGCGTCCTAAAGCATGTGTTTACGTAGGAGGCCTGGGCCGCATGTGATCGAACCACAAATATTACAGCAACTCTGGATGTTGAAAGAGCATTGTTATCGGAGGAACTCTTTCCAGTAATTTCCATATTGTATTGCGAAATGCCAGAAAATGTTACTGATAAATTGAGATTATTGTAGAACAAAATATAACGATTATTTTAGGAAAGATGTGCTGGACAAACACGATGAAAGTGGATTATAGCTCATCAACTTTGATTTTGTGGCAGGTTGTCAAGGTATCAAAAATGATACTGGTATTTTCCCCATTTAATTGATACTTTTTTAACTTCTTTGGCAAGGTAATAAACTATGTATAGTAAGCTATTAGCCATTTTTATACTAAAACACGATTTTTTACGGTCACTAGAAATTTGTGCTCGGTGATGAAAGTGTTAAAAAAATGCCATTTGTGATGAGGGTCTAAATCGCAACATTTTGCCGTAAAGAAGGAAAAGAGCTAATGCCTACCTCAGTATTACTCCCAAAGAGTTAAAAGACAATTCGTCTCTGACGCAAAGTACAAGGTATTAAATATTAAACCAATATTAAACCAATTGTATACAAAGCTACCAGCCATTTGTATTAAAATACGATATATTAACGGTCACTAGTAATTTGTGCTCGGGTTTTTAAACTCAAAATTTTAGAAAGCAAATGCCTCCCTCCTTATTGTTCCCAAAGAGTTAAACTATACGTTTGGCAAGTTCTTTCAACGTTTGGAGTCAATTCAATTCGTATGTCATTATAACGGATGGTGAGGGAATGGTACCTTGAAAAGTTTTTGATCCGGTCTCAAAATCTCTGAATTTTTCAGTGATGAGTCACTAAGTCTCGTTTTTTTCTGTGCCTCTTCCTGTCTCGGAGTCTAACAACAACTCACTCTCAGTCTTGGATTTTCAAACAAGGAACTCTGCGTCATAGCTAGTCTCCTATGTTTTTTTGGATTTCTCTGTTTTTCCCGGAGTCTCACTTTCGTCAAGATGCCTTCTCTTTGCAAAGTTTATACTGCATGTTACTGAATAATTTCAAAAATAATATGCAACTTTAACCTGCCGCGGCAGCAAAGATTCGCCCAGATATATAGTTGGCGAAAAAAAAAAATGCAATTCCTATACAAGAGATGAGAAATTCTTAAGGTTGAAAATTACTTGCACCTCAGTCTTCTTTTCTTTGTCGTTCGTCGATGATATCCTTTTTATCCCGATTTGTGTGATTCGCACGTTACAGCATTATAATCCCCGTGTCGCATTTATGTCAGTTCAGCCGGTTCGCCACATTAAATGCGTGTTTCGGTACCAAATGCATGTGGGCGAAAAAATGACTCTAACTTCCTCGGATCTCATTAAAAATGTTTTTGTAAACTATATGTAGAGGACAGGTGACTGGGATGCACGACTCCACTTGTTCCAGGCCAACGCGAGGATGCCACTTTTTCCTTTATATTAAGTGACAAGCATATGGAAAATGTCATTAATAGTTTTCTCATATTTATTACGGCACAGTAGAAGAATTTGAGACTTAAGTACATTATAGTACGGTTTAATTTTTGTTCATTCTCCCGACGCTGCGTGTCTGGCAATGCATTGGTCATAGGAACGAAAAACGAAAAGAAATCGAATGTTTAAAATTTATATCAAACAAAGCATTTCGAAGTGATTCCTTGTTTCGAATCCACAGAATACATTCAGTAAAACTATTTGCTGTTGTCTAGTCAGTTTACTTTGTCCGTGTATATATTAAAGTTTTACCTGAATCAGTCGAACTGTCGAATTATCTTTTTCTTTGGTGCGGGCGTCAGTACTGGATCGTACAAGAGCACCGTAAATAATTCCGAGTAGACCAGACTTGCAAGTGCTATTTTGTTCTTGCGTTGGACGATAATTAGTAAATACCCGTATTTTGTAGTCCAACACTTAGCCCCGTGAATGGATAGTATGATCTGTTACTGGTGGCCGCGCTCATGTGATAACTTGACAGTTGTGTGACAGACACTCTCGATTATTTATTTATGAACCATCCACCAGAAGCGTGCTAAAAGCTGGCATATTATAGAGATCAGTGGTTCATTAACTTCGTTTCTATACTTGCCAACAGTTTTTTTGCCGGTGCAACGTTAAATTTGTACTTGCTAAATGGAAGCTAATAAATTCCCGCCCCCAATTGGCCCGGCCTGTTCCTCTTTGGAACCTCTATTTTGACTCGTTCTTGTTAATCTGTCCTTAACACTAGGGGCATTGTTTGAGTTGTTTACCTCTTGTTTCGTTTGTCCAGTTACAGAGAACCTTAAAACGATGTAGGTAGCCTAAAATACTCAGTTTTGTTATTTAAACGATACGAAAACTGTGCATGCCCTGTGCTGTCCAGCTATTTGTTTCATGAATTTACAACAGGCCTAGGCTAAATAAATATTCCTGTAATTGTTTTCTTTATGTCTAATGCCAATATTTACATACATAAGTTAAAGTAAACAGTCTAAAAAATGAATCTTTTCGGGGTTTTTTTTTTTTTTTTTTTTTTATGTCTCAAAGTCCCTCTGGTAAAAAATTGCTTCAAAGGATCCTCATTTGCTAACAGCAAAACAAAAACGTGTGTCTGTGAAGCAGCGTGGAATTCTTCGAGACAGAGAAAGCGTGAGGCGCGTGACGTCACTGAAGCACCACGTTGGGATATTTCGATAAATACGCCTTTTCAATAATAACTTTCACACCGCGTGTCTACCATGAGGCGCCCCGTGACCAGCCCATGGGGAAACTTTCAAGACCTTGTGGAGTTTGGTCGATTTGATGTCACGCCACAGAAAATTTTTTTGAGAAAGGTTTGAGTAGAAATAATCTTTCAATTCCCTTTTGCCTTTTTTTTTTAGCCACAAAAGTAAATACAAGTTCGGTGTGACCGTGGAAAACTCAAACTGTCTAATTTTCTTCTACAGAGAAAAGCCGCATATCATAAAATGTTAACAAGTCGAGTGTTAATTGTCATAAATTTGCAATTTCAGGTATCACATTACTTGCACGCAGTAGTTTCAATGATACGGGGTATTTGTTTTTGTGTTGTTTTTTGTTAGGTTTTTTTTTTTTTGACTGCAATATACACTTAGAGCACCTGGATAATGTAATCGTTAGTCTCGCCTAGTGCATGCACGCTCTCAAGAAAATGATAATTTAAAGTGTTTTGAATAGACATCCCCAACTTATTGGCGAGATTTACCACTCTTTACATACATACATGCATACGTTAAACTTTATTTTATCTCAGATTTTCAGTAGCCAAAAATAGGCAAGTATCTCTGAGAAAATTAAAATCAAAATAAAGTAACACCACGTAAATGGAATAAAATATTAACTTAGAAGAAATTACAATCAAGAGGCGTACCTCTCAGTGATTAGGCATTATTAGACCCAGGATTATAAATCGCCCCTCCTAAAACATTTTACGTCATTGTATTTATTATGCATACACGGCGCCTGTTTAAATACGGCTCGGGCTACACATTCAACAAAAAGTGCTAACAACAAACAAAGAAAGAAAATAGTGTTTAATTTCCAGGAGTGAAGATCTCGCATTCGTATCTATTCATTAAATATATTATACATCAAGTGATAAGTACGATCATAAATAAACTTCGTATTTCTATGATAAAATAACGAGTGCTGTTTATTGTTGTTGATGGTTTGTTCCTTTTTTTAATACCTCTTAAAATTTAAAACTGTGATGCCTTGCACGGCATTTACAGCCGACGGGGAACCATTGCAGCCGACTGAGAAGTTCCATTTGAAAGCCGGCGGTGGTTTCGGCTGCATTGAAGCCGATGATAATCGTAAAACAATTAGCAGCATTTTCTTTCCTTTTCATTTTTCCGATTCAACTGACCATCGCTGCGTTGTTTCAAAATCATTCTGTTTTAACATATTTCCAATTTGGCTCTTTCCTGCTGTTGATCTTTCTTTTTTGTTTTTGTTCAGCCACCGTGTATAACATAAGTTTTATTTTAAAGTCAAGTGGAAATCGCGAAGCTCTTTTAAAATCGTGGGAGATATACTTAAAGGAGGTAAAATTTGGCATTATTAAGTGAGTATGGTTATGTGCAACTAATGACACTGATATGGTGTGATATCATGGTAATATTTTTCAAATAAATTTGCACCTCTAAATGGCCACTTTAAATGGTAACGAATGTTTCAGGCAATTACTACGGCGAAGCTTGATCAAGTGACTTTTCATGTCTTATGCTCCAACTACAACTTTTTTTTTTTTTTTTACTTTCTCTGCTCACACCAGTAAAATATCTCCTTACATCTGAATGCTCCAGACTTCTCGACTCCAGAATTTTTGAGTCCAGCATTCAGTACAATCCCAAGATAATTATTCTCCTCACTAAGTACCATATATTTATTCAAATGTTCGACCTGAGAATTTTCTGGTTAATCGTCCCTGAGCAGTATTTGATTAATATATAATGCATTCCCTTCACCTATCTCCTTAACAGTTCATTGATATTATTTTTGGGAATTTTAAGCCAATGACATTTTTTTTTTCTCATGATGGTTGTTGCTAAGGTGCGAGCTTTGGCATTTGTCTATAAATGAATAAAAGTGTTTTACGATTGTACGAAAGTGAAGATCCAGAAAGCTCCTCAAACAGATAACCGTTCTATCATTCAGGCGTACTCATACTCTACGGATAGGCTGATCAGCTGGAAACGTAAAAGTCAGATATGATTTTCTGTGTGCGGCTGCGAGTTTTCAAGTGCAATTAGAAAAAAGAAAGAAAGAGTTACCTCGAGAAGTTTTGTGGAAAGTTAGACACTTTCCACCCCTGCCTCGGTTACCTGTGAGAAACACCGGTCGGAAGCACACTTATATTGTTCGTAACAAGACGACAAACTAATATTGAACAAATGCGTCAAAACTGCTAAGTTTTACGCCGCTTAATTTCTTGATAAGAGGTGATTATTTTAATCTTCTTTTCCTCTCCTACTGAGCGTATGCTTAGCCAAAGGAACAAATATTGGTTTAAGAATTGGCCACACGCGGAGATCTGCAAGATAATCACAAAAACAACGGAGGGGACGATTACCATGAGAAAGAAACAAATGGTGCTAAGTCCCCGAAAAGTTGCTAATTTGCCAAAAATTTCGTTTGTATTGCACTACACACCGCAAACCAAAACAAATTTCAAGCCAATTAATAATCCTGCTACTATGCTTGCCGTTAAATAGAAGGTGATGTTGTGTAGCTCCACTATGTTTTATGCTTCCCAAGTGAAAATGTTAAATTTGTAGCTTAGGTTAATCCACACGAGCAAATAGTACATATTTTCTAAGCATTATCTTGATTTCATCTTGGCAAACTTATTTTCGAAAATTAATGGTCGGTTAGTTGTCCAAAGAAATGCAAATTTTAAAATTTTGCTTTTTAAATAGATTTGTATACGTTTTCGAATTTTGTTTTTCTTAGCACAACACAAACAATGATAATGAGTACACAAACTCGGCCTGTATAAAGAAGATTCTGGAACTATATAAAGCTAGACAGAAAAAATGTTGCAGTTGCCGAGACGGCCAATTTGATTAGTATCGATGTTCGTTGAGCTAAAAGAAATTAATTTCCTTTTCTGCTTGTTTTGAAAAAAGAGATAACAACAGTATAATAATTTGTATACATAATAGATCAGCAAAATTGTTTCGCTTTTACAAAATTGACGTGAGCGGTAAGTACAAAGGATTTTAGGTCTTAACAACTCTGGATTAAAATAAAATTGCCTAAAAGTGAAATGCTATCGCCACTGAAGGCGGGAAAATATTTTTCTCCCTGCAGGAGAGTTTTAATCAAAAGATAGTAAACTTTAATTCGAACTAAACATTCTTTTAGCTCTGAGTGTATACAGACATCAGTGATAAGGAGTTTCGAGAACACTTATCGAACTTTTCAAACATCACCGTCTTGAAGATACTGACGTATTTGGCTCACATGTATCAGCGGGAAACTACAATAACAAACATGAACGTGGTCCCCGGCTTTAAAAGTTAGCTTGATTTGACTGCAAAAGTAGTGTAATTATTTTTCCCGCCATTATAATTCCATGACCACATACAGCAGAGGCGCACAGAACAAATGGAATTCATCAACGATGGAAAATATGCTGATTTATTATCAACTGCAGCGAATACTGTCCAAATAACAGTACAAATATACAGCGATATTGTACAGTAGAAAACCTGTTTGCCGTACAGGTCGGTGCGCGCACGCAAAACTGTCACACTCTACCTCTTTCATTGATAAATTTATTGACTACAGCAGTTGGATAATAAATCTCTTATTAGATGTTTTGGTGTGTAGTATCGCTGTATATTTTCACTCGTTGT